GTCGTTAGGTCACTCACCGTATTTTATCTTTGGCTAGTCAAACGTATGTACAAAATTATGTCTACAAATGGAGACCATAAAGGGACAGAGTAGTTGCTACAAAAAGAAATTTTGCAGAAGGAAGTTAACTTTGAGAGACATTTGTTCCTCAGTGATGATGAAGATCAAAAGGGCACTGAGACATAACGAAGAAATTGTGAAAATAGATATACCTGCCCTAATTCTCCTGGAGAATGCGACAATAAAGTATGCTGACGACTAGTTTTAATTCATTTAAGATCATTTCGTTCCGAGCTTTGTTTCACATTTCCGTCGGCTTTTCATTGAATGATAGATATTAAAGTTGAATGGAATCTCTTACATAAATAGCGACATATTTTTTTACGTTATCAGCTAAAAATAAAAGCTATCTTTAACGAGTTGTAATTAAAAGTTTTATATCAGATAGCTACCGTTTCGTTCCACTATTGTTTAACATAATTAAGGGATATTCATATTACGATGCTCTCAGAAATATTGATCTTTCTAAGCAGAGAATATCTTTAGACGATTTCTCATTCTTCTATGAAACCGTTTTTTTTTTTTTTTATCAGAAATTGATAGTTTCTATAAGGTAAGTAAAATCCAAAAGTACAATTCTATTACAAACGGCAGATATGGGAGGGACCTTAAAAGCTAACTTTAATAATATTTACCTGATCACTAAATAAATATTTTAAAACTTTTACTTTGTTTACTGTGTTTTTCGCTAAAATAAAAAAATCGTCTACGTAGTGAAAAAGAAACAAGAAAGAGTTCATCTCAAAACCAAACTTAAAAGAAAAGAAACTGTCCTTCACTTTACATACGAACTAAGTCAAAAAATAAACTCCTATTGTTAGAGGTCCTCATAGACTACATTAACCACACTTTCAACACCTCAATGTATGAAAAAACCCAATAGTAGAAACTCTTGACACCTTAATTTTATTAGTGCTCATTTAGATATAAAATAGCAGTGATAAAAAAAAAAATTCTTAAAGAGAGCATACGAGAATTCATCCTCTTGTCTGCTTTTGCTTAAGGAACTGAACAATGCAACACAGACACTAGATAACAATGGTTTTCCTAAAAACTACCAGATTAGGCTATTTCTTTCCAAAGAAAATAAGAACAATACTGAAAACACAGACAAAAAATAACATAAATATCTTCTAGAAAGAACCAACTTTACTTACGAATTCAAACACCCCTTAAGAAACAATGTTGATCAAAACAAATAAATCATTACAAAACAAATAAATAATTACATCGGTCGCACTACTATTTACCTATCCAGACGACTTACGTTGCATCCGACCACACCCGATACATTAAGTAAAAAAGTAAGAATGCATTCATCCTTGATAATGGCTAAAAGTATAGAAGAATGTACTCAGTAATGTAGAACATTTGGGGTGTTTTTAAAGAATTTATATTCAGAAAAGAAAACCCCTGTATTAATACAAGTAAAATTAAATAAAAATCTTAATCGCTTAATCACGTTACCTTGTCAGTCTATATGAAACAATAAATATATATATATATATATATATATATATATATATATGTGTGTGTGTGTGTGTGTGTGTGTGTGTGTGTGTGTGTGTGTGTGTGACGATCGCTTGCGGGAAAATTGTCCTGTAAGCTTGTGGATATGCGAGTGGTGTAATTGATAACGATTCGGAATCTAAGAGCCGTTTTCCAATTCCGAGATCGTTGTATTCACTGTGGCTTAGATACTCCTAAGAAAGGCATGATTCCAACTACCTGCCCAGCGCATCGCTTAATTAGTGGGACTTATATCACTAAACTATTATTTTCTCCCCAAAAAATCATGTAATCGAAAAATGCATTCTGGCTTTAAATAACCTTCATTTGGTTGATAAGCCATAAAAAAAATACAATTCGATCAATAGAAATCTATTCAATGAAACAACTCTGCTAGGCATAGAAATCGAACCAGCCTAGAGGAGACCTAGTAATTGATTCAAGATAATGACTTCTAACCAAATATTATTTATTTTGGGAATATTCGTCGCATGCTAACGCTTACTTTTATTAATTCCTTTCACCTAAAACTTTCGTTCGAAATTGGTCTTATGCTGTCATATTTCAAGTTTGTAGTGATATTTTTTTTTTCTTTTCCAAAAAAATTTTATGAAATCTCCGTCAGGAGCTGCAAAAATATTTTATCAATCCCGTCACCTTCGTTCTCAGTAGCTTTTTATACTCCCTTTTCTACCAAATTAGAACCATCCACAGTGCACGTGTACCAGTCATTAAATCATATATGCCTTGGTGTAATCCTGCACAATGCAAAATTAAATGAAATTGGCATTGCCAGAATGGTGTTTTATGTTTGTTTTCAATTGGGCTAAAATAATTATTTTTATATGTACCGTGACCATTCAGGATGTTGGTGATCATGTATTTCCACAATTTCCTCTCCGTTGTAGTGCTTAATAATGTTTGTCTTTTGCTTGCTGTCCCAAACCCTATTCCACAATGCATTAATTCAAGCGCGCGAGTTAGTTTATGCGTTGATTTTCTCTGCCTCTTCGATCTGTCCTATAAGTATCATCTATTCCACGACGTTTTTCCTCATTATGTGAGCTAGAATTTTCAGCTATCTTACCCAGAGTTTTATCCCTATTTCTTGTTTAGAATTAGGTTTCCTAATAAAGGCGTCTCATTCACTTTTACTATTAGTAGCTCCTTGCTTAGGGTGAATTGATTAAAAAAAAATACGTTTCTTTTTTGTTTGAATTGTCTCAAGAACTTCGGCGTTGCTCTCAAGTTCTATCAATTGTATTCTCAGTATCTTTCTGTAGAACCACATTTTTTTTTACCTAAAACTTATCTCTGAGGAGATTGTCCGGTATTTCAAGACTACACTTTTTTTTAGGTCAATTTTTTTCCATATTTTTAAATAGACTAATGTAGATACCTCTAGATAGGACACAAAGTTGTGGAGAATCATGATCGTTATCGTCTTGAATGGATACGATACAAAGAAGATTTCAGATACCAAAGAATACTGTATTAAACCCAATGTCAAGCAGGCACACTTCTACAGAATAAATTAAACGTGATAAATATTCCAAAGAATACTGCCTAATTCTTCAAAATTAGAGAGCATCGTATGTGGGACGTGTGAATCTTTACTAGAATATATAACAACCAAACGCGTGAACGGAAAAATAAATCATAGGCAAGGGCCAATATTTCATTTAGATGAATCGCTTCAGAATAATAAAACAGCTTATGCCTGCGGTGGCGGTGGCGAGAAGGGGGAGTAGAGACTGCGCAAGAAAGGAATTGCTTACAGGTTGAAGGCAGCTACACCGACTGATAAAAGGTCGTTGTCACTTTGTGAAATAATTCCAGCAATGGCGCTACCGAACAGCCGACTTTACGTATTCATAGGGGCCACTTTACGCACAGAGAATGTTTCACAAAGAAAACTAAATAACGAGCCAATGATTATCAATATCATTAGTAGTAGATACAAATTTGGTCAAAAGATGGTGCCTAAAGATTGATGTGTCTCATAGGAGAATGACTTTGAATTTTAGAATAATGTTGTGCTTTGTAGAATGAATTATGGCCGGCATTTGCTGAATGTAACAACTTGAAAGATTCCAAACAAACAAAAATGATAAACATATCCTATTGATTTGATATATTTCAATCTACATCTATCTATCTATCTATCTATCTATCTATCTATCTATCTATCTATCTATCTATCTCACACACACATATATCGATATATATATATATATATATATATATATATATATATATATATGTGTGTGTGTGTGTGTGTGTGTGTATGTATGTGCGTGTGTCCGTATATATATATATATATATATAGTTATAATACTATATTACTTTGCTCATGACTGTTATTTTTATTATGGGTTGGTCATCTCTATCTTTCTTTTAGTCAATCTTTCTGTCTATCTATCTATGAGCCTGTTGGAATTAATCTAGTTCACAATCAAGCTATTTTTCATATTTGATTTATCCACATATCTGATTGAATTATATATGAGATAATTATAGCACAATTCAAACAGGAACTTAATTACGAGCCCAATTCAAAGACGAAATTTGACTTTCAATTTTCAGGGCAGGTAGGAAATAATTAACACTTACTCCAATGAATCACACTTTACGTTTCTTCTGCAAACATTTTTGATTATATATTCATGATGAAGATTTGAACCTGCCTACGAAAATAAAACCACCCTATTTCTAGTTGCATGTTGGAGTTTTCATTTAGTTTTTTCCCTTTCCGTTTTTCACTTTTAAATGCTTCAGATATTCTGCAAATACGACATCGCAAGATAGAGCGTGTGTAAATATAAAAGTGAATGGATGTCTGTTATCAGTTATCTCGTGTTAATTCCTCTCTCCAAGTTCTCCATTGCCTTAACCGGGTATTGAACTCACACTCTTTGGATCTTGTCACTGGATTTAACCAATGCCTTTATGCACTGTGCCATGTGTCCTTGAGGACATACATTAAACATGGCACATGGAACTAAAACTGTCTACCCCAGTGAGCGAAATAAAGGGTTCATTTCGACATTCCAACCACCTGAAGAAGGCCGGAGCGTACAACGGCCGAAACGTTGTAATAAATATGGCAACAAAGATGAGGGCAATAGTCCGAATAATGTAAATAGTGAAAATTTAGAAAATTTAACAAAAGAATGTAATGAAAACTCATGTAACATTTGAATTTTTTACGAATAGTTAGATTTATAAGGACAAGGAGTATTATTTGTTGAAATAAATTGAAAATATTTATACGACAATCGAAAGTTTGATTATGTTCAGAGTTTTTAATTTGAATTCAAAATTTCTGTAACATGGCGTTTTTTTTTTTGCATATTTACAAAGCTCAGCGTACTACAGTTTAAGGATAAATTTAAGAAATTTATAGAATTATTGTGCTCCGTCAAATTAAGAATATATACCAATATCTATCTATCTATCTATCTATCTATCTATCTATCTATCTATCTATCTATCTATCTATCTTCAATACCAACCACAACAGTTCATATGAAATTATCAAAATAGTCAAACATGTCCTTGCCTATTATTTTATACCTTGCAACTTTTTCCTTTCAGTGATCTATCGCATTTTCCTAACATTGGTATCTGTAAACAATTACTGTTCTTCCAGTCTATATTCAACCATCTATTTATAGAAGCTGGCTGTATGTTGTTAGACGTTCTCCTTTCTTCATCTTTTCTCCATTATAACCTGTGAGTGCTATATTCTGCAAACTATCTTTCATTATTACCACTCAAACAAAATTCACGCGCTTCTTTCCGATAAGTACAAGGGTATATCTGTTTCTATTTTCGTCTAAGCTTTCTAGTTGCCCACATATTCCGTCCAGGGTATTCTAAGGATCCTTCTGTAGAACCACACTGATGTATCCCCTGCTTACACCTGAGATATAGAAGCAGCTCAACACGCTTTTCTTTGCTTCTAATGAAATATTCTTGTTTCTTCACACTTGACTTAACTTGTGTAAGACATATTTCACAAGGTGCCAATAATCGTTGTGTTCAAGCAGTCGGCTTGTAACATATGCGAATTTATTTGTATATTCCAAATTGTTTTCCGAGATGTAATATAATTTTAAAACCCCACACACACACACACACACACACACACACACACACACACATATATATATATATATATATATATATATATATATATATATATATATAAATAACATTTCTTAATCCGACACACTTCCCAAAATTTAATCAAATAATCTAATATTATATTTTGTTTGAAATTCATTTCACCACGTCCTCATACATACATGCTTATATATATATATATATATATATATATATATATATATATATATATATATGTGTGTGTGTGTGTGTGTGTGTGTGTGTGTGTGACTTGTTTACAACGTATTTGTATATATGAATGTATATGTGTAGAATGAAAGATGAAATGAAAGACAAATATGACCTCGCATAAAGGCATGACAAACAAAGTTTGAGAGTAAACAAATCAGTTAAAATATATTAAAATGGTGCATGATGAAAAAAATATTAATAATATTGTTCTTGTCTGGCAAAATGGTAAATATATTAAATATACTGGAATTGGATTTGGCTGTACGTTTGCCGAACGAACAACGGTATACTGTTAAAAGAATTTACTAGTTTATATCAATGCAAGTCTGATTTTATTTTATTTTTTTAATATCAGACGGAATCTGCATAGATTTGTTTTATTTTTTCTTCCCGTCTCTTGCAATATCAATCCACCTATATTTTAATATTAAATAATGTACCTAATATTTCTTTTTATAATGCTTTCCAGTTGTGTTTGATTTTCGATTCTGAAATCTAAAACAAATCTTGAGTTGAGAAGTTCAATTTGAAAAGAATCTTCTGTGAATGCGAAAAGACTATATCAATCTTTGAAACAAAGTTTATTCGAAGATGCCTCATTCATATACTCTTTAGATATTATCAAAGATTATTTGAAATGATTCATTTCCGAATGAAATATTAGGTTGGGTCACAGATAATCTATTCTTGACAAAGTAAAATAAACTTACATTTTATTCAAAAATATATTGAACAATATTTACAATGACTTGTTGCCTCATGTGTGGCTAAATCTTGATACAATCTGTGTGAAATTCAGCAAGATCGATGTTAAAATATTTCGTCGAAATCCTGAATGTGGATTTAATTAAAGAAAGATTATCCCCTTGAAAGTGATTTGAAAGGATTAAAAATGTTGTAACCGGTATAAACGAAAAGTGGAACAGAACAGACCAAACAAGTTCCATATTTTTCCTGGCTTATTGTTTATGCATGTAGTCCATCGTTATTTTTCCCATTGACGAGTGCGCGACAAACTTTTATGAATACCATTACAGCTCCTGGAAATATAAATGTTCGTTTACTTTTACATTTATTTTATGAAATCGAAATGAATGCAATCCCGGTGATCTCAGCAGATGCAGAGCATTCTTCCCAGATTTAGGGTTGCTGCACAGGCCAGGCACGAGGTTCGTTCTCGAAGTGCAGGTTCTTCCAGTCAAACGTTTGAGGCTTAAAAATAGCTCTTTACCGAAGAAATGAAACCAGGTATTGTGTGTAGCTGTAAGCACATCTTATTCGGTTGTAATCTTCTGCTATAACGAGCGAGGCGGTTATGAAGTGAGGGGAATTGTCTAACGGCGATTTAGTTTTCTGTGCTTGTAACCAGTCTCATACATTCTTTGTCATATTTTTTCTAAATAATTAAATTAGAAATAACCCAAAGTCTAGCTCAACTCAGTGACCCACTTTGTAAGGATCATATGACATCATTCTTGTGAAGTCCGCTTCACTTAGCTGTTAATCATAAGGTTAATAACTGTCTGAAACAAACCCTGTAACGTTTTTCGAATGTTCACAATTAACCATTAAATGTTGGTTTTTCGGTATTTATATTTGTCATTTCACTGTCTTATGCGTTGTTCATTATCGGATGTGAGTCTACTTTGTATTCTGAGATGACACATCTGTTATTAGTTAGTATGAGATATCCGGCTTTACAATTGGTTCACGAAAATAGAAATTTCTTATGACACAACGTAATACGTTTATGTATTTTATCGTTTTATGTGTATCTAACTGCATAAGTAAGTTAATTTAACCACGACACAGGTAAGACATTAAAAATTTTACGGCCACCAAATAAAGTTCCTTCATCCATTTTCTTTAAGATGCAACTTCAAATATTCCCAGGAGATTTGTAGAGAATTATCACATTATTACTATATAAAAGTTAGTTATAGATCATTAAAATTATTATTTTTTTATAGGCAACTAGCAGCATGGCCCGGCGTTGCCCGTGCTTGATTCAAAAATCGTACGACTCATACAGTAATCGCTATCACTTGATATTTTTGCCCTTCCTTGCCTTTAAAGAAGTGCCCTTTTCCGTGCTGATGTTGCTACATGCCTTACTTTTTGTCTATCTCACACTGCGAATTTTTTTCTAAGCTCTATACTAAACATTAAATCTCTTACGAAAAAAGAACTAAACAAAATGAACACAAAACGATCAGCTTTAAAAGAGGACTCGTAACTGGAAACACCGAATGAAAAAAGAATGTTAGCAACAAATACTTTTTCACACCCAACCCAGTTCTACGAATCAGCCAATTGGAGTAAAGTGCCATGCAGATTTAAATTTTTCCCACTTGTGACGAATGCAGCTATCGAATATTTTTGTATGCTAGTTAACATTCGTGTCAGTCAGCTGTTGGCTCTCACGTTGGCCAATAGAATCTTCCTGCCTATTCGTGGCAGCTAGCTATAGGCTCTCACTCTGGCCAGTACAAAATGGCCGCAAACTACATGAAAACTGCTGGAGAAGCATGAAGGAATCGATTATTTCCACTATCGATGAGAATTGGGAAATGCATAGTCGGTCTTAGCCTTCCCGCTAACTTGGAGTATTAAGATTTTCTAGGTACTCAGATAACCTGTGTTCCTAGTACCCAAAGCCAGAAGCACATCACTGTTGTTTCAAGGATCTGAAATTGTCCACCATCTCATATATTATAGATCTGCTTAACACTGTTCTTGATCCTAACGATATTTTTATTTTGTAATTATTTGCTTATTTTCTGAATGGCATATTTGTCTATTTCTAAGTACATTCAGATTGTTGTATCATTTTTTTGCATCTTCCCATATAGTCACATTTCTATACCTACTCGATTTCTCAGTATCCATTACTTAACACACACCTTGGATTGTAAGCTTGGCTGACAAGAATGCCTTCAGTATTTATAGAGTTGATACCTATTAATATTCTTGATTTTATAAATACTTTCCTATGTGATTTTCCATTTTTACCGAGTTTGACATATCCACAAAATGAATAGAGTTACATGTTCTCTGGTACTTAACGCCGAAAACATAATAAATATAGGAGAAATGTCAACAATGTTTAGTAAATTTGTCACCTCTAATATATTTCGGTAGGTATTGAAGAGAAATCTCATGTAATATATATTTGCTTAGTGATTGGTGTGATGCTCAGTTAATTGTGAATCTCTCTGGTTTCAATAATTCTAGATTGAATTTTTAGAAAGAAGGTTTAACTGTAAATATATTTTACAAGAAAAGGAGGAAAACTTTTGAAAAATCGAGCAGATTTCCAATACGTGTTTGTACTTGTTTAACATTGCTTCGTATATATGTAAATTATCTAAAGTCATATATATATATATATATATATATATATATATATAATGAAGAACTGAATAAACACATTCAACAATGAAGAACTAAATACAATTTCCACACTTAGAGAAGACACCCTAATGTACAAGATTAAAAATAAACCCAGCCGCATCCCTCTAGGAATCACTTTCAATCCCACTCTTCTTCTTCTATCCCAAATAATCAAAAGTCGCTGGGAATATATTATATCTCAATCCAAACCTAAAAACAAATATTTGAGTAAACCGCCCTTCTAGCATACCGTAGGCCTAAGAATCTAAATAAAATTATAGGTAGTAAACACATTTCAGGGGACAAGGTAATCCGTCCTAAACCAAAAACAAAATCAACAGGATTTTTCCACTCAAACAAAAAGGAGCTTATGCTGCAACCATATTAGACACACGAATTCATTCAGTAGCTCAGTCACTAAATCTACTTTCAAAATCTACCTCGACTCTAACTGTAGAAGTCATACATAATATAATTTACCTCCTAGAATGCACACTATGCCTGAAACAATATGTAGGAAAATCTGAATGGCCCTTTTAGTACAGAATTAATATTTATCTCAATCGAATTAAGTCGGCTCCCCATTAAATATTATTACCTACCGCCTACAAAACACGATTTTAAAACACATGCCATATTCACTGTAATTGAGAAAATAGAAAAGTACAGAGCAGATAACATTTGAAAAATTTTAGAAGAACATGAAAATAAAAGGCTTCGGCGCCTAAAACCACTCCATCCAGACGGGATTAATCACAAACTTAACAGCATAGATCGAATTAATATATAATCCCACAAATCAGGACCTGCCCACATTTCTCACCCGCACAAGAAAAAACATGCTTGCGGAGGTGTTGTGGCCTCAAACTTATACACACCCCCATACTAATATACACACTTACTCACTCACTCCATAAGAACCAAATAACCCACACACTTAACAGAGACACATCCCCCTATCCAGGAAGCAATAAAACTGTCAAAATGACCAAATGAATTCAGAGCAGCATGAATACATCCATCTCTTATCTTAAATAACAACTTAAAAGAGACTGCTTGACCAACACAAGGCTGACCAAAATTCATGTTAAAAAATAAAGAAACAAACAAATGAAAACTACAGATAAAGTTCATTTTCTCCATCAAGTCATTCATTTCAGTAGTTTACTGTTACTAACAAGCAGAATTTTCTTTTGCTCCTGATGATGGCCATGTTGGCCGAAACTAGCCGAGGAATCTAACTGAAATAATAAAAACGAAGGAATATTAATATGCAAAACTGTGTGTGTGAAAATTTTAATTTTCTAATATTTTAATTGTTCAACCCCCCCATATATATATATATATATATATATATATATATATATATATATATATATATATATATATATATATACACGTATGTGTGTGTGTGTTTGTATAACCCAATTAAAGAATTGTAGAAAATGCAATGGATTTTACTATATCGCTGAAAACCCCAATTGTTTACTAACACCGGTTCACAGAATATTTGACTTATTTTTGTGCATTTTGTGACATCAAAATTTGAATTTCTGTATTTATAGTCATTAATGAATTAGTGACGTCATACGAGCGGAGTCTTTCAATTGTAAGGATATGATCAACGATATTTTACTTACTATAAACGGATATTTAAAAATTGGGAAAATATTTATTAACTAATAATCTTATGAGATTAATAAATCACTTTATTTCTTTTATTTTTATTTTTTTTTTTTTTGTGGCCGATGTTTCGTTATAAAATCGATCAGTTTTAGTCCTCAAATTTTAATTAGTCACATTTTCACAGATTTATTCGATTGTAATATATTACAAAAATGTTTAGCGATACTGACACATAAAACTTACGGACTGAGTTTATTTACGAGCGTAAAATGTAGTATTAAGACAACTTACAGCTTATTTATTCTGTCGGCTGCTACAAACTATACGCATATATAAAACAATGTAAATATGTGAAAAACATATCCTCACATGTAGACGCATTCTGTCACTTCTATACTAAAACATGTTGCGTGAAGCCGTTTCGCAAATAATCTTTGTAATTCATTTCTTTCGATTTGAAAAGTTTTTAATATTCTATAATAAATATCTATTTCACTTTATAGAGCCGTGTTGAAGATCGCTTATATCTTCGATTTATCCAAGCGTATTCTCCACACACACACACACACACACACACACACACACACACACACACACATATATATATATATATATATATATATATGTACTCTTGATTAAAAACTATCCAAAGTCTCGTGTTGTTTTTTTTTTTTTTATTATGTACTTATTAAATATCTGTAATATCTATTTTTGATTTCCGGTTTTTCATTGATAAACGAAACCTCGCATGTCTGAGTACCTTTGGCTATCACCCCTATTTCAAAGATAGTCGTTGTATTTTATGTATTCAATTTATTTATTTATTTCATATTGCGTGTTGCGTGCTGTCTTTGGTATTCTTCACAGTGTCACGTAGATATTCCTGTCTTCTATTTTGCTTAATAAAATTTCATTTAGTATGTCGGGAACGAGGTTTCATTAATTTTGTTAATCCTTCGAATTTATGTTAAATGGTTTAAGGAAATGCGCTGTTTGATTTGTTTTTTGTTTTTTGTTTTTTTGTTTTTTAAATATGTGTTAAAGTTAAATATAATTAGCTAAATAAATAAATAAAATAAAGATGTGAAAATTAATACATAACCTTATTGAATTTATTAAAAAATAAAAGTTCAAACTGTAGCTATATAATGTCGGCGTACTTGATTTTCCAACAAGGCTATGTGGAGAATTACAGGTATTTTACTTATTTTGAATTATCTAAATGTGAACCTTGCAGATTTAATCTAAGGTAAGTATTTCTAAAACAGATAAACTGAGAAATTTCAAGTATCTACTGATAGAGAAGACTGATTATAAATTTTGGGAGTTATATTTCCCCTTGCCGATATTTCTGCTGAAATAAGCAAAATTAATATCAACACATCTTTGCATACAAACATTAAAATGAGCCAGTCGAAGTAGTTTGTTTTAATTTTACGAATAATTCTGTTATATAATCGCTTACACATTGTTATTGTTTTTATCTGGGCGGGAAAATATCATCTGAACAGATTTTGTGGAAAGTGTCGATTGATTAAAGAGAAAGACTGACGTTAATAAGAAAACCAAATAAGATTAAAATCATAAAGTGTGAGATTCTTTTAGCTCCAAATTTGCGCGGGAGATTTATTTGGCTTACATTACTATTTTCCAGCATGCTTCAAGTATTTTCCAGCAAACTGCGGGTATTGACGAGCAGCAAAACAAATACAGCAAAGAGCCTCCAACCTGAGCGTGAATGAAGAACGAATTAGTGTCTATTCTTCCTGAGTTTCGCTCTTCTGTTGAAAACCTAATCATCGAGAGATTAACGGACTAGGTGGAGAAGATTTCTTTTTGTTGGGGGCGGGGGAGGTTATCTTTGGATACCGAGGGTGAAGATTACTTCTATTATCACACATTGTTCAAGCTAGGTCGACTGATTTGTTGCGTGAATGTTATGCATCTAATCCAGACAGAATTAAAATGAAGGAAATAAAATCAGTTTGACAGCGAGAGGAATAACAAACTCCTGATACACTGATCGGCATCAACGAACAAGTCACTTATACAATCTTGAGAAATACGAAGAAAAACACGATAAAAATTGGAAAATTATTGTAATTTGTGATTTCTAATAAGATCCTTCAAACTACAATCCAAACCTTCCATACAAGACAAACGTTGGAATCGATTATTCTTTAAAACACTGAACAAAACAGATTTATCGGCCCAGACACGTACAACACTGAAATAGGTAGCATAAATGATGTCCATCAAATAATTAATTCGACAGACTACATCATATCACTAACAAACAGGAGCAGATGCATAAGCAAAGGAAAGACAAAAGCTTGCTACATCATCAGACTCAGGATTGCGTGTCGTCGTCGTCTTTGCTGCACTGCGGAGCAGCTGACTAGGAGGGCGGGTTGTTTTTTTTTCTTCTTTTCACAAAATCACTTTTGCACTCAGTTTGAAAGATGGAACTTGATTTTCTAAGTACTGTCATCAAAAATATGATTCATAGCTTTTCGTAATGTTTGAGAATTTGGTTGTAAAACCGTCAGAAAAAAATAAGTTCAGAAATACCTAATTTCCGCAGGCCTTTGCTTCCAAACTGAATTGAAAAATTTCACTATTTCAAGAATAAATTCAAATAAAGTTGATATCTTTTACATTATATACATTGAACTAAAAATGTATTCAAACCGGAATTATAATTATGAATCACCACAAGTAGAATATTCAAGTTTTTTTTTACTGTATTTCATATCAAAATTTTTTTTAAAAAGCTATAAAAGATTTTTAAAGAAGCCACTCAATGAAGAATATTTGTTAGATCCTTTGTTAGATAATACCTATTAAAAACAGAAAATAGATTAAAGTGTATATAACACGATAATATTACTGGGCAAAATTTATAAGACGAAATGTTTTAAATTTACATTGTTTATTCAAATTACACCAAAACTACTTTACTGTATAACATAGTGCATCATATAGCTAAATTGTACGGTATAATATTACTTTGCAGTAAATGAAGGTCTTATTTGATGTCACATTTATTTAGTAATAATGTGCTTGCGCCATGCATGTTGGCCATATAAAATTATTAAAGCCTCAAAAAATTATAAATTTTATATGGCTGTGCTATAAGGATTTCACTGATCACCGGAATGAAATTTTAACCTTATGATTTTGACCCTAAACATAATCTTTAAGCTAGTTTTCTCACAAAAAGGTAATGAGTTGGAAATACAAACTTTGTAGTTATTTACATGTCAAACCCCAACTTGCAAATCAAATGCAATACGACGGTTCGAAAATTGTCCTGCCCTACTGAGCAGTTTTTTAAAAATATCTTGGCTGAAAGCCGGAATGATATTCATTCATGCGTATTGTGTCTTCAGCATTTAGTCTTGATGGATCTCATACCGCTCTAGATCAAATTGCAGGCGGTGTCCTCCGACTTGACGGCTCGTTTAGACACGAATATAAATTATATTTGGGGAGGGAGAATTCTTAGGTCCGTCTCGGAAGCCTTCCGATCAGCGATGCCACGTCTGTTCGGAACATCTGGTTCGGAAAATATCTGGAAATTATAAGTTTGGAAAGAATATTCCGTCACTTTTAACTTTACTTAATGTGCTTTATGGCACTATCTATCTATCTATCTATCTATCTATCTATCTATCTATCTATCTATCTATCTATCTATCTATCTCTCTCTCTCTATATATATATATATATATATATATATATATAACACCTAGATGCATGTAACAAGAAAAAAATATTAAGACGTCATCAGCTGTCGTTTAAGATTTATTATTTCTTTAGATGTACAAAACTCTCTTTGAATAACTCAATCACATAATTAGTGCAGTATTTCTTCAGTGTGCCAGTGCAACTAATCCATAGGTATATATCATACGCATGTAGGTATGCTGTAAAGATTATCAATTTCGCATAGCAGCTCCCGCCAACTAACTGTTAGATTCCTTAACACAAGCATACCAGATATGTATAGATTTGCACCAACGCTTAGACATGTAATCAGCTTTCTATCTATCTATCTATCTATCTATCTATCTATCTATCTATCTATATATATATATATATATGTAATTCCATTTACGCCCAAAAGTTTACCAAGTTGGGAAGATGGGAGGATTTTGGTAATCTTTAGGGCGTAAAACTATTCTTTTTGCAGATCTGTTCATTCCTTTTATGATCCTATCTATTCTAGTATGTTTACTGAACTCATTCTCTATCCGAATGCATGTCGTTTTCTTCTAGTATATGTTTACTGTCAGTATAGTTTCTATTCATCACAATACGGATGATAAGTTTTGTTATAAGGGTCATTAGGTTGATTCTCCCATAGAATTTACATTCATGTGACATTGGCTTCTTATGCAGTGCTATGAAAATAGATCTATTTAGGTATTCGGTATATCAGTACTGTTATATATATATATATATTTATTATGTGTATAATCTTGTCAATGCCGAAATCAGGTAACGCTGCCAGCATCTTTATTACAATGCCGTCTGGTTCTACTGTTTTATTTCTGTTCAATATACCCAGTGCTGATTCTAATTTATATTTTCATATTTCTGGTCCTTTGATATTTCTAAGTATTACCATTTTTTTCTCTTTCGTGGTGGAAGACTTCTCCAATGTATTCTTTCCATAAATAAATTATTTTTCTTTCTCTAATATCCGAGTCGCGTGTTCTTGTATTTTAGGCACCCTATTTGTTCTCTGCTTTTTAAGCACATCTTTTTTTTTCTTTATATTTCTACACATTTTTCTTTGCCCTATTCTTCTTTACCCTGTCGACATTTGTTCGTAATTTCTTTATGTAGTGTCATATAGTTTGTTCCGTTTTTGGCACTGATTTTTTTTTTACTCTGTTTCATCATGTCGAGAATTTCATCTGTCGTTCATTTTTTTTCTTTCTCTATTTCTCTTTGGGATGATCTGTATTGCTGATTTTACTAAAGCTTCTGTCATTGCGTCCCATTTCGAGCTTCTATTCTTATTCTATCCATTGTATCTGTTTTTAACACTGTCCATACATTTATCCTTCACATTCGGGTCATTAACGAATCTGTCGTGTTGCAATTTGGATACCGCCTTGGACCTCTTCAATTTCCTACGTTTCACTCAAAGTTTACATATCACTGGAATGTGGTCGCTCATGTAATCGTCACTTGTGTATGATTTACCTACTATTGATATATACGTAGTCGATTTGTTTTTACGTTTATCCTCCTGGGCTTCACTATGTCCATGTAGGTCATGGATGTTTTTAAAACCCGGTATTTTCTACTACCTGATCATTCACCGTACACCACTGAACCTATATTTCTCCGGATTTATTACGAATTCCCAATCCGAATTTAATAGCCGTTTCATCATCTCTCTCCTTGCCTAATTTGACATTCAGGTCTCTCGTGACGATTGTAATTTCTTGCGAACTGCATTAAAACTTGGCGTTGTCTAGTGTACAGTAAAACTTTTCAATTTCTTCTCTAAGACTTGGTGCTGTCGGGGCATATAGAAATAAAATGGATATGTTGAAAATCTTTACTTTAAATTTAGTGACTAGACTTTCATATAGTGTCACAGAAGACATATCTTCATGTCTTGTAAATTATTTACATTATTAAGACTATTTTCCTCATCTTTGTCGTCATATTTATTATAACGTTTCGGTAGTTGTACGCTCCAGCCTTCTTCAGATGTTTGGAATGTCGAACTGAACCCTTTATTTCGCTCACTGGGGTGGAACTTGAAAAGTCCACCCCAGTGATTGAAATATAGGGTTCAGTTCGACATTCCAACCACCTGAAGATGGCCGGAGCGTACAACGGCCGAAACGTTGTAATAATATGGCGACAAAGGTGAGGACAATAGTCCGAATAATGTAAATAATGTACATAATACCTGATCTTCATGTCTTGGTTTAATATAAATCCTACCAAGCTTTTTTTTTTTCTCTCGTCTGCATATATTTTTTTATCACTGACGAAATATACATTAAATGACCAGCTCTTTTCAAAACATATCAATATTTAATTTGTTCAATTCCTGCTGTTTTGGTTTAGTGTTCTGATATTCCATGTCCTGAGAATTACGTTTTGTTTGAGATGATCTGTCACTGTATGACGCTCCAATGATATCTGGCTTTCATGTCTTCCCTTGTGCGGCAAGGGATCAATTCCAAGGAGTATATTCTGTTTCTTCTCACAATCTTCAGATGACATTCGGGTGATGCCTGTTGCAAATCGAACCCTTCAAAGAGGAAGGATTTTTATTTTAGGTTGGATCCCTAATCATGAATACATTTTATACCGCTCGATTTCAACTTTAATAATGTAAAGAGGCCATTCTATAATTATTCAAGAAGAATACGCCCTTCGATATATATATATATATATATATATATATAATTACTTTTTAAAAATATATATATTCATTCGCTACATAAGAATTCTCATGTTTCAAAATCCAGAGCCGAAAATCACAATATAATTATCGAAATTATTGAAATTAATTTCAATAATTATATTGAGGTTTTAGGCTCTCGGTTTTGAAACATGGCAACTCTTATGTAGCGAAAGAATCATAATTTTAATAAAAATAATTATAATTTCAGCTCTATTTCTGTATGGAGCACTCTCTTTGAAAAAATAAAAACAAAACTACTAAAGTACTCCAGATTATTTACCTAACGTGTTTTTTTCCTTTTATACATATCTGCACACACACACACACACACACACACACATATATATATATATATATATATATATATATATATATATATATATATATATATATATATATATATATATATATATATATATATATATATATATATATATAAAGTGTGTGTGTGTTTCTATGAGTATGTGTGTCTATGAGAGAGAGTAATAGAGAGGACTTAAAATGGTATATAAAACAAATTCTAACAGGAAGACATATTGTAAGTAATCAGTATATTCTAAAGACACTGAAATCAAATTTAAATGGAAATCTGCTTTGTTTTTGATGCAAAATAGAAATCAGTAATTAGTAAAAGAAATCTCTGTGCGCAACCACAAAATAATAAGACTCTGGAAAATTAAAAGTTAATCATTAGTAACAGTAATTGTTTTTTTACAATATCAAATAATAATATACAGTATGCATATATTCATAAAGCATTATTGGTATATCAGAAATAAGTTCTCTGCTTAAAATATTTTAGAAAGCAAAAATTCAAAGAAAAACATGATAATACACCGTTAATAGGTGAATTCATCAGTAGTCAGCAGCTTATGTCTCTAAATTGATTACCGAAACTCAAATATTATAGTTTTGTTCTCGAGTATGACAAGTCAATGCTATTTCTTTTTTGATAATACATTTTTTTTAATCGTTTCAGCACAAGCAAGGAAATAATGCCACTAAGTCGCAAGGGATTAATGAGTGCGAGAGAATATGTGAAAAAGCGAAATATATTAATGAAAGCAATAAAAGCACAGGTATTAAGAAGGCAGAAGACATCATTGTATTTAAATATATACTAGCCTAATAAATGTGTAAGACAGGTCCAGGCAATAAAAAATCACCTGGCAGCACACAGTGAACTAACTAATCAATGTATTTTACATGAAGACAAAAATTCAATTACCAGTGCAATAGCCTCTTAGCGATGTTTTAACTTGTCCTTTCTTAAATTTTCTTGAATCCTGTTGTTGACAAATTAATTCACCTAAACAATCAAGACATTTCTGATCAACTGATGACTTTTTAATAGCTAATGGCCAAAAGAAATAAATGAACTTAAATTTAAATCAACCCTTTTTCGAATGACGAATATTGCTACTAAAACAGACAAACCATGTCAACATATCGCTTTAGGGTCGATGGAGAAGAAACAGTAATTCATATTTTAAGATCATAAATGAATGCAAAATGCTATTTTGGAATGGTGCCCCACAGGGAATCAAGCAAACGAATTCAGTGTGGTCAGGCAGAAAATAAAATTTAAATTCACAACCATTAAATGTCCCGGAAGAAAAACTAAGCCTCTTTGGATTTTAAAATTCAAGCGCTCATCAAATCGAAACCAGGAGGCTGAAAGTAGAAATTGCAAGCAAAGACCAGATAACTACTTAAATTTTAAATGCAGTTATTCCAGAAAATGACATCATTAAATTGGCAGAAATGGTAACTTGGATGAAAAAGGAATACAATTACAATAAACTGAAAAAAAAAAACAGTGATATGTGAAATCCTATTTGGAATCCATTAAATATTTAAAAAAAACAAAAAAAACAAAAACAAAGAAAAACAAAAATAGAAAAAAAACCCCAAAAAACGCAATTATTAAAACCTACAATAAAATTGGAAAATAAGTGCTGAAAATATGAAGACGTTTGTTTATATTTGATCTTAAGTAGAGCTCAGATGTGTCTGATACGGATTACCGCTATGCACAGACAAAGCTAAGATCCTGGAAAATGCTCCGGAATCTAAGAAAGAAATGCGATGATTTGCTGTTATCTAAATACTCATCTGTAAATATCTATTATTATTATTATTATTATTATTATTATTTAGATATCCTCTCCAACTTTTAAATGTCTTCGCCAGGAGATGACGATCATAACTCAGCTTTTACCTGTAGCTTAGAAACACAACACATTCAACACCACATGAAATCTTTCAAGCTGCGCTGCCACCTGCTGACTCACAATTATTTCAGGTATCCCCACGACATCCTACTTACGCGTAAGCTTGCTAGAAATGTTCCCGAGTGCACCAACCACAAAAAAGACCACTTGAGTAGCTGCTTTGTATAATTCTATGATTTGCCCTATCAAGTATTTGTACCAATCTATTTTCGGCTACCCCCACCTTCATAGTGTTCATATCCGAAGTTACCGCAATTTTATCAGGATCCATTTCTGCTTTTGGTCTCCAGTGTGTTATCAGGACAATTACTCTCCAAATGCTTGTCTTTCAAGGAGATTTAATTGCTCATCCTCACTGCTAATAGTGAAGGCTTGTACCACTTCTCTGTACACTTGAGACCATACGACATAGTTCCAAATGTATTATGAGGGCTACTTTGTCATGCATTAAATTATCATGGTTTATTCTTTTGTGCCCACTGAG